AAAAAAAAAAAAAAAACACATCTTAGTAAAACCAATACCTTCTCAGCTTCGCATCGAAGCTAATAAATTATTCTGTAAATTTTATATCTTGATAATCAAATGATTTTTATACTATATTGTGTAATAATGAATCTTGAATGGTGACTTACTTTCACATATTACTCTAAAAAGTTTTTTTTTTAGTATCTTAAGATTTCTCTTATGCTACATTTTGCCTTATTATCGCTAATTTCTTGCAATCAATGACATAAAATTAATTACAATTTAAATTTTATAATTGATATAATAATTAAATAACGATTATCAAAATAATCTGTAAATATACAAGAATAATTTTGTAAAATTAATATACTTTTCTTTTTTGATAAATCCATTATTACATTAAATAATCTTAAATATACATTTGTCAAAGAGGTAACTAATTATACAACTACTTTATACATATTTATTTATTCCCGTTTTAAATACCATCAACAAATTGGCATCGAGACATTTTTTATGATAGTGGTTTTAATCATTGTCGTATGCCTATTATCTATTCTTAACCCAACTATGCCACGTCTCCACTTGACCACAATCGGTACTGTGCTGAATTGTTTAATTTTATTTCTAATGATAAAATAACCATCTTTTTGATAAATTATTAAGTTTAAAGACCCTTTTTTACTTTTTTATACTAATGATTTTAACGTATTTTTAAAGAACATTTTATTTATAAACGGCTAAGTTAAGTTATGTATACATATGTGAACATAAATGAATACTTAATCATAATATATAGTATATAGTAATAAATGCATTTTTAATGTATTTTAAATCTTATGGGAATGTGCTTGTTAGAAAAATGGATCACTGTGTAAGCAAATTTACTTTATGAATATAAATTCTTAAGAAATACAATATTATATTCAAACATTTTCTGTTACTGTTTACTCTATTCTAATTTGCGATATTTTTATTAAAATTATTATTTTCTGGCAGACTCAAAATTAAATTATGAATAATGTAATTAAATAAGTTTATTTTATTGAAAAACCATTCTCAATTTTTGTTAACTTAAAAGTAATTTTGTTAAAAATAAATTCTAAAGTTAATAAAATGTGATTTACTTATATCCAATAGAATCTTATTTTTTTTAAATAACGACCCAAGTATCCAGTGTCACAACTAAATAGAATAAAATTTTTATTTCATAATAGTTTATAAATTTCATCGTGTGTCAAACAATAATTAATTATTATTGATTATTGTCATCTTATTTTATTAATAAAAATCATTAATGATATAATTTTCACTATCTCGAGAAAGGCATGAAGATATTACACCCTCTTAATTGAAAATATTTATTGTTTTATATGACAATTATTTCTGTAATTCAATTTTTATCATATATTAAATAATAAAATCTTTATAAAATAGAAAAACAGTTGAATGTCATTATGAAATTAGTCTAAAATCACTTATTATGTTGTATCAAATAAACGATTAATCGATTAAAAAAATATGTAGATTATCGCAAAATTAGTAATATTTCAGACATTTTGTTGACGACCTTTTTTTTGAAAATTCAATCATTAACCAAGATACTGTAGGAACTCAAAAACCATATTGATTTTTTTTTTCAATTTTTTATAATACTTCAATAAACCTGACTTCTTTAAAACTAAATCAAAAATATGCTTATTTAATTGTTCTATACATTTAAAAAAAGAAAGACGTTCCAACTACTTGTCTTCTATCAGTATTTGACCTATAAAATTGAAAATCTTTTAATTTTTTGTGTATATGATAAAAAATATTTAAATTTGTGCATCGGTATCCTTTAGAACAGTGATTTTAATATCTATCAGATATCAATAAGTACTAATTTTTAAATAGCCTCATCTCCATTTTGCAAGTCACGACAATAGTTAACTTTATTTATTAAATAAATAAAATTATATATTTTATTTGGATATTTGCATTTTATTTTATTAAAAAATAAAAATTATTCGTTTTTCTGTTTTTATTTTATTGTATACTGTACTAGACTTAATTTAATGCAGATTTAAAAAACATAATCAAAAATAAAATTTTTTTATATAATTTATAAGTCTCCATAGTACCTTGACTAATAATTAGATTTCAAAAAAATTATGTCATTGTCAGTAAGTCATTTCAATAAAAAGTAAAAACTAAAAATATTAACATTCACTGTTTTATAAAAAATGTAAATTTTTGAACATTTCCCTTTATTACTAGAGTTTAAGGGAATTATTAAAAATTATGTCACAACTACACGCGTTTTGAGATCTTTTAATTTATTATAAAACAAAATCGATCCAGTAGGAGTGGAGTAATCATGTATACTTACACAAATAAAACAAGGTAAAACTAATAGCTTTTCAGCTATTAAGTATGTTTCTCAACTACACATTGAAGCTAAAATATTATAATATAATATTTTAAATATTATTTAATTACAAACTACACTTTTTATTTAATGCTAAAATATGATAAATTCTTCAATATTACAGATCACTTTTGAAATTTTAAGTATAAACTATGGTACACTATTATTGAGTGAATTTTTTTTTAAACTATGTAATCTAATATAATAAAATGTTTTTATCCATCTTGAAATTTGATAAAAATATTTTTGGAATTTGCCATTATCCCATTTGAAAATTCAAGGTACGCTATTGCTTTAAAGGTATTCATGAAAG